ACTAAATCCACCCAACATCGAAGCAGCACCCACGGACCTCCCAATCAATGTTGGCCCACCAACAATTGAAGAAATCAGCATGGCCATCAGACAAATCAAGAGTGGCAAAGCAGCAGGACCAGACAACATCCCAGCAGAGGCACTAAAAGCAGACGTAGCGGCAACTGCAAGGATACTCCACATTCTCTTCAATAAGATTTGGGATGAGGAACAAGTACCAAAAGACTGGAAAGAAGGACTTCTGATCAAAATACCGAAGAAAGGCGATCTCAGCAAGTGTGATAACTACAGGGGCATCACTCTTCTCTCAATACCGGGAAAAGTCTTCAACAGGGTATTGTTAAACAGGATGAAGGACACCGTAGACACCCAATTTCGAGACCAACAGGCAGGATCCCGTTAGGATAGATCGTGTACAGACCAAATCGCAACTCTACGGATCATTGTGGAACAATCAATTGAATGGAATTCATCACTCTACATCAACTTCAGTGACTACGAAAAAGCATTTGATAGCGTGGACAGAACAACACTATGAAAACTTCTTTGACACTAAGGCGTGCCTCAGAAGATAGTCACTATCATACGGAATTCCTATGATGGATTAAACTGCAAAATTGTGCATGGAGGACAATTGACAGACTCGTTCGATGTAAAGACCGGTGCCAGGCAAAGTTGCTTACTCTCACCCTTTCTCTTTCTCCTGGTGATCGACTGAATCATGAATACGTCAACATCTGAAGGGAAACGCGGGATACAGTGGGCGTCTAAAATGCAGCTGGAGGATCTATACTTCGCAGATGTTCTGGTCCTCCTATCGCAATCGCAACAACAAATGCAGGAGAAAACGACCAGTGTAGCAGCAGTTGGTCTGAATATACACAAAGGGAAAAGCAAGATTCTCCGATACAACATAGCATCCACCAATCCAATCACAATTGACGGAGAAGATTTGGAAGATGTAAAAACCTTTACGTATTTGGGCAGCTTCATTGATGAACAGGGTGGATCTGATGCAGATGTGAAGGCGCGAATCGGCAAAGCAAGAGCAGCATATTTACAACTGAAGAACATCTGGAACTCAAAGCAACTGTCAACCAACACCAAGGTCAGGATTTTCAATACAAATGTCAAGACAGTTCTGCTGTATGTGGCGGAAACCTGGAGAACTACGAAAGCCATCATCCAGAAGGTACAGGTGCTTATTAACAGTTGTTTATGCAAAAATACTTCGGATCCGTTGGCCGGACACTATTAGCAACAACGTACTGTGGGAAAGAACAATCCAGAACCCAGCGGAGGAAGAAATCAGGAAGAAACGCTGGAAGTGGATAGGACACACATTGAGGAAAGCACCAAACTTCGTCACACGACAAGCCCCCATATGGAATCCTCAAGGCCAACGGAAAAGAGGAAGACCAAAGAACACATTACTCCGGAAAATGGAGATAGACATGAGAAAAATGAACAAAAATTGGACAGAACTAGAAAGGAAGCCTCAGGACAGAGTAGGTTGAAGAATGCTGGTCGACGGCCTATGCTTCATTAGGAGTAACAGGCGTAAGTAAGTAATATACCTTTATTTGTTTAAATTCATACCTTGATCTTAAGTCCCTTAGGTTTCAGGTACACTAAATGATGTTCATGGAGCGGTAGCTTAGTGTTTAGACGATTTAGCTTTCTAAAACTTGGGACTGAATCCCGCCTCACGTGTTGTGGTTTTTGGAACTGGACAGTATTATATACACGATTATTTGATAACATTTGTTTTTATTTTACATTGCGTGGCTTGTATACTTCTTTTTATTCTCATTTCCTGTATTTTATTTTCAAACTAATACAATAGCTCACCTATGGTGGAAATTCTGTCCTTTCTAACCGGTCTTAAGTCACTGATTTATTGACAGTTGAGTGCTACCGCCGAATACGAATTTTGAATCAGCCTTCCTGAGACCACGTGTGCCATTCAAAATGGCAACCGTCAGCGTCCTCACACTAATACAGACCGGACAAGTGATAGAGTTGGGTGTATCTTTAGGAAGTCTTAACATCGAAAAATGTTTTCTATCCGATACCCCATTTCAGGACTAGTAAAGTACGACAAAATCGCTTTCTATCAATCTATTTGAAACCGCTGCGTTACATGAGTTTATTCGAGGATCCTAGAGCATGTTTATCTGGGTTTTTTTGAATTTGTGTCTCACTGGTAGAAGCAATACTAATCGATTGGATCCCCACTGACGGTATTTAAATTTGTCCGTGCTGTAATCAGTGGGAGACAACGAAGAGGGACCGGGGTGTGTCCCTATCTTCTCAAATTCCTACTGATTGGGTATTACATGAACTACAACACTATCCTTTCATTTCTAAGAATTCTGTCTCCATTTTCTCAGTATTTTCCCCTAAAATATTCATTTATCCAACCTAGAATTAAACAATTGTTTAAGCGATTCTTTAACCCCCTACGTTTATTATCTTTTATTGACCCCACACAAAGTATATACAATTTTGCCTTTTAAATGCTAATTTGTTACTAGGTTTCAAGCAACTTTGAAGTGTTATTTGCTCTCGCATAATTTAACATCTGGATTGACTTTGTTTTTCTTACACAGCCGGCTGATATAGAATTGATGCGTCTTTATGAGGCAATCGATGAAAATAATGAAGTTGGGTCGATTGACTTTTCTAATGCAGAACAATTAGTAGCACTAATAAATGACGACGAAAATACAGATGACTTAGATGATCATACAGGAAGGTCGGCGACCAAATCTATGAGTTCTTTAAGCACCACGGTGAAGCGAGCATTCGTCGCCCATGTTCCAATCTACTCACAAGAGCAGGTGAGATTAATATTCAGATTTTTATAAAATAGTTCGTTACTTCCTTTAACCTTACAACAAACGCAGATGCTGTAATGTAGTAGTCTAAATTATTTATAATTTATTTTATAAACATCCAATGCGCCACACATTGTGCATGCGATGTGATCCAGACCCAACTTTATGTTGAAACACTGTAGGTAGCTTTGAGATATTATCCATTTATCAATGATCTTATTGTAAAACCCCCAACACATAATGCATACAACTCGCCAATCTGTGTTTTTTACTTCTTTTTTATCAAATAGCATTCAATCTACTACTGATTGCAGGCTTGATAAAACACTTACCGTCAATTTTTTTAAAAATTCTTTAATTACCCTTATGATTATCCCGTATTTGTATTTGCAGATTGAAGCGGCACTAGTAACCCAGCGTAAACGTGAAATTCTTGAGAAATATATGTCTAGTGATCTGTTAGCAAGTATGGCACAAACTGGGGAAATCCTTGGATTTGAAAATAGTGATGAAATAAACTCAAGTTATCAAGTTGTAAACGACAGTCATTTTTCGTCAATCCCGACAACAGATTCCAATGGTAACGTTGACTTGGATACAAATGAAGGAGAGAAAAAGAACTAATACTTTATTTTGTGGCCTTTAGAATGTATATTTTTGTACAAATTTCAAGCATTTAAGTAATGCAATCAAAACTCCGTGTTTTTTGCGTCTTATTTTACAATGGGATTCGATAGTAATTCCGTCAAAAACATATATAAAAAAACTGTATCTCAGTGACAAGTTTGGAGGATCCGTAAAAATCATTTGTGATCTCTTGTACTATTGTATGAAGATATGTTCTGAAGTACAGGATAATATCACTATGTCTCGCTTTTTTAGCGAGACAACATTCATTTATCGTTGCACTACCTAGTACAATCACCGATCCCTGAATATGTTATCAAGTAAAAACAAGTTAATATCAGATACTACTTAGTAAACTTATATTTTTATGATTAGACTGTTGCATGCAGTTCACTTTCCAGTGATCAACTGTCCGGCGCTTTAACCGGGTTGGTAGACACCAAGGGGAGTTGGAAAACCCTCATTTCAAACTAATGGTGCACATGGGCTCCAGGATCCTGGGCGAACAAACGGCGTATGAACCAATTATTGGTCACCGGCTACCAAGGCACTGCATCTCCTTACGTTTATCCAATGGACTGGACCTCCAGGCCAAAGGCTCCGAGTGTGGCCCCCTAAGAAAACAACTTCCTTCCGTTTGGGCACCCGGGTAGTATCACAGCCCTCATACAAATCAAGTGCGACTTGTGTGGCGCATATGTGTCTGGTTCCTCATTGTACCAGTATTTATGTGTTCAAATAAATTGTGTGTAAGAAGAGTGATAGTCTTCCAATTCATAATTTATCTCTCCCTTTGTCTTGCATTTAAGCATATGCAGACAGTCGTAATAACGAACATTAGAACTTTATTTTTCATCGTTGTTCGGTTGAGATTGATTTCCCCTTCATTTGTCACCTATTGTTAAGCGAAAGAGCTTATTGCTCTTAGACTTGGATAGCGTACGGTAACGATTTTATAGATGAGATCACTATTTTGGGTTAAATATATTCTATACGAAAATAATTTTAATCTCGTATTTACTCCGTCGGTTGGTCAATGATCCTGTTCTCTGAAATCTATCCATATAAGATTAGGGCATTTGTGCCACTAAAAAATTAGCAGTTCATTCGCCTTAATCATCAGTATGTTATAAGACCATCTTAACATGATTTTAGTTTTAAAAACGTAGTTGCGATTAATTACTGTGATACCTTATCTTGTTCGACGTAATTACCCAGTAGACTGTTTACTGTTAAGTTTTGTTCGAAAATCAGGAAGTGACAGTCTTTATTTAATTTTTTTGGTATGAAGTTGTATGCAATTACAATACATATCAATGAGGTTAATATAATGTATACAACTCATAGTAATCAATTTGTCGGTCGTAAATATCGACGATGTACATGGAAGAATTTTGTACAATTACCAACCGAAAAGATGAAAGATAAGATTATCGACAGGATATTGTGATGGCGAGAAATGAAAATTATGAATGAAGAACAAAAAAGGTAACAATGTAATGGTGGATGCATATCGGAAAAACTGTCAAGCAATCAGACTATGTAGACTCTCTGGACTTCTGAGGCTTCAAATGTTTTCCCTGAACGAGGACATGTTATTGTTCCATCTGGACGTGTTAACTCAGCGATACCCTACAAAAACAAGTAAAAGTAATAAAACGTATTAGATTTTTTACTATATATTGAAAATTACTTCCCAAGGATTTGCATTAGTATCTTGAACTAGATTTCAGCTTTAATTGATTTGTAGTGCTATTGATGTGGGTTGTTATGTGACAACCATGGTTATGAAATATCGACTTCACTCCCCCTAATTTACATAAATAGATTAGTCATATTTAATCTTAACTGAAGTGTTTAGTCCTGTATTTTGTGTCTCCGGAATGCCTATCCTCTTTTGAGTTGCATCTCAACTTCATTAAACAAATGGTGTCAAATCTTTATCACTGATCATATTATACGGTGTAACTTAATTTTGTTTACAGCTAGTGAAAACCCTTGGAGTAGAATAGTCATCTTATTCTGAGGATCTAGTCACTCTCTCATTTTGCACAAGACTTTGACTCCGCCTGTAGCTCTTATAGGGTTGCTGCCGGTCCCAAGCCCGGATAAAGGAGGAGGGTTGGGCATGGGGTTAGCGTCCCCATCCCGTAGAAAACTAACTCGCTAAAAAAACGCTTACCAGAAAAAATAATCCAAACCATTTTAACTCTGCCCTGGGAGTTAGAAGGTCTTCATTTAGAAGAATTATGACGCTTCATGGTGAAAGCCGAGTTCCTTCGGAAGCCACGAGGCCGATGCCTCTTCTAACAACCAGAGCAAAAAATTTTATAGGTACATGGAACGTACGAACAATGTGGGAGACCAAGAAAACCAGTCAAATAGCAACAGAAATGAGGAGATACAACTTGGCAGTACTGGGAATCAGCGAAACCCATTGGATCCAAGCTGGACAACAAAGGCTAAATACGGGAGAGATGCTACTATACTCCGGTCACAAAGAGAAAAATGCTCAACACACTCGGAGTTGCTCTAATGCTGTCCAAAGTAGCACGAAATGCACTTGTAGGATAGGAATCTCACGGATCCAGAATCATCAAAGCATCATTCAAAACAAAGAAGGAGGGGATCTTAATGAATATTATCCAATGTTATGCACCCACCAATGGTAGCAACGACGACATCAAAGATCAATTCTACGAGCGGCTGCAGTCAATCATTGAGAAATCCCCAAGGAAGGACCTAACTATTCTGATGGGAGATATAAATGCCAAAGTTGGAATAGACAACACTGGATATGAAGATATTATGGGACGACATGGACTGGGACAGAGAAACGAAAATGGAGAAAGATTTGCAAATCTATGTGCATTCAACAAATTGGTCATAGGGGGCACAATATTTCCACACAAGCGTATACACAAGGCTACATGGATCTCACCTGACCACACTACAGAGAACCAAATAGATCATATTTGCATCAACAAAAAATTCCGAAGGACAATGGAAGAAGAAGAAACTACTATGGAGGACAACTGGAAAGGCATCAAAGAAGTATTAACTTCAACGTGTCAAGAGGTTCTGGGCCTGAAGAAACACCATCATAAGGAGTGGATCTCTACAGAAACACTGGACAAGATCAAACGAAGGAAGAACAAGAAGGCAGCAATAAACAACAGCCGAACACGAGCAGAGAAAGTCCAAGCACAAGCTGAATACATAGAAGCAAACAAACAAGTGAAGAGGAGCATTAGAGCCGACAAGAAGAAGTACATGGAAGAACTAGCAACGACGGTGGAAAAAGCTGCTGGAGAAGGAAATATGAAACAGCTTCACAATACAACGAAGAAACTAGCAGGGAAATACAGTAAACCAGAGAGGCCGGTCAAAGACAAAGAAGGCAGGAAAATCACCGAAATTCAACAACAGCGTAACAGATGGGTAGAATACTTCGAGGAACTCCTGAATAGGCCGGCTCCAATGAATCCACCGGACATCGAAGCAGCACACATAGATCTTCCTATAGATGTCAATCCACCAACTACGGAAGAAATTAGAATGGCCGTCAGACAAATCAAGAACGGGAAAGCAGCAGGACCTGACAACATACCAGCCGAAGCACTGAAATCAGACATCGAAGCAACCACAAGCAAGCTTTATCTTCTATTCAAATAGATTTGGGAGGAGGAACAAGTGCCGATGGACTGGAAAGAAGAATACCTCGTCAAGGTTCCAAAGAAAGGAGATCTGAGCAAATGTGGAAACTACAGAGGCATTACACTACTGTCAATACCAGGGAAAGTCTTCAACAGAGTGTTGCTGAACCTGATGAAGGGTGCAGTAGACGCCCAACTTCGAGATCAATAAGCTGGATTCCGTAAGGATCGGTCGTGCACAGACCAAATTGCAACACTACGGATCATCGTCGAACAATCAGTTGAGTAAAACTCATCACTATACATCAACTTCATTGATTATGAAAAGGCATTCGACAGTGTAGATAGGAGGACATTATGGAAACATCTTCGACACTACGGAGTTCCTGAGAAGATTGTCAATATTATCCGGAACTCGTACGACGGACTACAGTGCAAAGTAATGCATGAAGAACAGCTGACAGATGCATTCCAAGTAAGGACCGGAGTCAAACAAGGCTGTTTACTCTCTTCCTACCTCTTTCTTCTGGTGGTCGACTGGATTATGAAGACCTCGACATCTGAAGGAAAACACGGAATACAATGGACAGCTCAGAACCAATTAGACGATTTGGACTTCGCAGATGACCTAGCCCTCCTATCACGTACACACGAACAGATGCAGATGAAGACAACCAGTGTAGCAGCAGTCTCTGCATCAGTAGGCCTCAGCATACACAGAGGGAAAACTAAGGTCCTCAAATTCAAAGCGGAGAACAGCAATCCAATCACACTTGATGGCGAAACTCTGGAAGATGTAGAGTCCTTCACATATCTGGGAAGCATCATCAATGAACAAGGAGGATCCGATGCAGACGTAAAGGTGAGGATCGGCAAAGCAAGGGTCGCATTCCTACAGTTGAAGAACATATGGGACTCAAAACAACTTTCAACCAATATAAAAGTGAGAATCTTCAATACGAACTTCAAAGCAGTTCTACTGTATGGAGCTGAAACTTGGAGAACTACAACAACCACAATCAAGAAGGTGCAAGTATTTATGAATGGTTGTCTAAGCAAGATAATCAATGTAAGGTACATAAAGTTGATTGCATGAATTTTGATTCACCGTATTAAAATATCACAATGATAATTTTCATGAGACTTATACTTAACCTATAATTTGTCTAACATGGTTGATGGATAACTAAGTGTCACTTGTAAGTTGTTATACGTTATTTATTAGATGTTGGTTTTCCATAATCATCGATGTTCTGTTTTTCAGCTCAAAAATTCTAAAGGTTTTTGTGAGAATCTTCAATACGAACTTCAAGGCAGTTCTACTGTATGGAGCTGAAACTTGGAGAACTACAACAACCACAATCAAGAAAGTACAAGTATTTATAAATAGCTGTCTACGCAAGATACTCAACATCCATTGGCCGGATACCATCAGCAATAGCCTTCTGTGGGAGAGAACAAACCAACTTCCAGCTGAAGAAGAAATTAGGAAAAGACGATGGAAATGGATAGGACATACATTACGCAAATCGTCAAACTGCATCACGAGGCAAGCCCAAACTTGGAATCCTGAAGGGAAGCGAAAAAGAGGAAGGCCAAAGAACACATTGCGTCGGATAATAGCAGATATGAAAACGATGAATTACAACTGGATGGAGCTAGAAAGGATTGCCCAGGACAGGGTTGGATAGAGAATGCTGGTGAGCGGCCTATGCTCCTTCACGAGGAGTAACAGGAGTAAGTAAGTAAGTTATACACAGTAACAGTTAACTTTTATATTGTGATGGATTGATACAGATAAGATGTTATTTCCATCATTATTGAGAAAATTGTTGATAACAACCAAGGAATGTAACGCTCAACTAATTATTTCCCAAACGATACATATTACAACTAATTATGCACTAAAACTAATCCTGTGTTCTGTATAGACTTGTTCACAAGTCGTTCAATTATCGTGGGTCTTGATACAGCTCTACATTTTTAACCATGTTATTTTCTTGAATCCTTTCAAAAAAGAAACTTATCGAAGAGCCTATATACCTAGCACGTCAGGAGCAGGTGAACTTAAAAATACACACAGAAGTGGTCAGATGCAAGAGCTTGTTATTTAGGTCATTGCTGAACATTGATCCTTTCGAGACATTTAGGAATAATCCTCTTCATGATGCTTGCAGTGCTATCACCTTTGAAAGCAATGTTCACATGAGGTGCTTTCTTTGATTCATAGTTTGTTGATACTTTAGGAAGTTTGGTCTTTATATTATCTGTAATGTCTTTCGCGCTGTGTGTGCTTACTCACTCGTGGTTTGTTCGCCTAAAGGGATACCTAAAATATAAGTATCCGGAGCATACTCATGTTTTGCCTGGATATGCTGTTGTCTTGAAAGTTTTCAGTCAGCTACGACGTCGGACCAGACATATATGCACCGGTCCAAGTTGTCATACCTCATCAGTACAAGGTGAAAACCAAATTTATAGAAGCAGTTACTTCAATGGTACTAAAAACAGGTTTCATATAAAGATATAATACAGGGAAAAAGAATTAGTTCGTTGAAAGATATAAAGCAATTTTAATCTCACAGGTTAAGTGAAAACAGAGAGTGTATCCACCGACGCCATTGTGGTCGATTTTGGGTCATGTCACCCAGCGTCTCCAACTATTGATTACGATAGTCACGCAAAACCCAATCAAGTAGTCTGCATGTACCAACATGGCTAAGATTAGGAGTTAGTGACTTCAAGGACTGATGCCACGTTTTGGTTTGGCTGTCCCTAACTTTCTTCCAACCATCCCCAACATTAGTTAGCATCGCGCGTCGTGGTAATCGGTGTTCAGGCATGCGTAACACGTGGCTCAACTATCTCAGTCTATGAAGAATTACAACCTCATCAACTGACTTACCATCATTCCATAATATTCTACGTCTAACCTCACTATTACTTACCCGGTGGTCCCAGCAGATGCGAGCAATGTTTCTACGACGTTTATGCTCAAGCAATAATAACTTACGACTACAGTGCACCCTTAATGGCTACGTTTTATAGCCGGAAAGTAGAAGAGAACAAACTGCTGAGCAGTATACTCGTCCCTTAATTGATAGACAGATATCTCGCCTTCGTCATAGGTGACGTAAGTTTTCAAAAGCCAAACGAGCCTTTTGAATCCGTGCAGAAATTTCGTCAGACAACGACCCATTAGGGTCGATCAAACTTCTAAGGTGAGGTTGTCGACGCGTTTGACTAGTTCACTCCCTATCCTCAGTTCAGGTGGTGACGCAGGCCATTCCTGGAGCAACAGCTTGCATTAAGAGGGAGAGAAGCTCACCCCAAACATTCTGGGATTGTTGCTCAGTGCTACCAAAAGACTGCATTTTATCAGTGTCTTCACCAAACATGAATATGTCATCTGCATATTCTAAGTCGATAAGTGGATATCCTGGAAGGAGATCAATGCCCGAAAATCCAGTGGACGAGAACGTTGTTTCCATTAGTATGTCTGTGGTGAAGTTGAACAGAAGTGGAGATAGTGGACGGCCTTGTTGGACACTACTTGAGGTTACAAGATCAGATTATAGTTCGCCATAAGCTTTAGTTCGACTAATGGTGTTCGAGTAAAGTGCCTTCACAAGGTCTACGTACTTCTGAGGTACATCTTTCAATGACAGACATTGCTGCAGAACCTCTCGGTCTACAGAATCAAATGCTGCTTTTAAACCAAGAAAAAGTATCATTTCCGGACGCCGATAAGCATGCCTGCGTTCTAGAACCTGACGACTCTCTGGTTGGGGTCCGGGAGATGGTGCAACACAGTGGCTAGAGACGTTATCAGATATGGCTCAGAATAGAAGCCAGTGGCGATCCTGCTGTAACCTTCTTTTACTTTCTTCATAAAAAAGTGGTTGTTTCTTCCTTAACTGAAAGATTTCTTCTGATTGTACCCTTCTGTTCCCCTACTATTGCTATTATTATTATTATTACACTACCCTACACCAATCTCTTCGTTGTTGTTTTTTATTATTTTTTTACGTTCCTCACTTTTTCTTCTTCTTAGATTCTCATTGTTTTGTGTGGCGCATATATATTCGGCGCACTCCTGTACCAATATATGTGTTCAAATAAATAAATAAGAACCTGACGAATGGTGAATATGTGGCCGATACGGCCACGACCAGGTCTGAAGCCAGCCTGATTTCCTCGCGTTCGCAGTTCATGAGTCTTTGTTAAGCGTCCGATAATTAATGAGGTTAGTACTTTAGATGCTATGTTAGTGAAACTAATCTCTCTATGGTTATTGCAGGATGATTTTGACCCTCTTCTCATATATATTGAGACAATCAGTAACTGGGACCAGTCAGGTGGGATTACATCGAACTCCCAGGATTTAGCTAAAATATTAGTCAACCTAATCGCTAAATTTTGACCACCATACTTAAAGATATCTGGAGCTAATCCATTTGGACCAGCTGCTCTTCCTCGTTTCAGATTAGCTGTATCTTTTTGAACTTCAGCTAGAGTCGTGGAACCTACTTCAATATTTCATTCAGGCTGTCTGAGAATGGTGGGTAGATGTAGAGTAGCCGAAGGCCAACTGAACTGCTACCTAAAGTGTTCCGCCAATCGTCCGAAACATATGAACTAAGAGCAGATAAGAGTGCCGTGTCTTTCCAGTTTCTTTTATTAGCCAAAGCGTTAGGTCGACAGAATATATACTTTATGATTATCATCATTCTTTAGCCAGTGGAATCAACACGTAGCTATAATAAATAAGTTTTCAATCCATAATAATAAGATAATGTGCAGTTAAGTCAATCAATCCTATAACACAAGAAACATCAGTACTCACTTAATTTTACTATTCCTTCTTCACTTCAAATTAATTATCAGATAAAAATTTTTACCCGTTTTTTAATTACATTAGTATTTCTCATACCCTGTGTTTCCCATATTATAATGGTTAGTGAAGATACAATTGACAACCAAACATGTTGAGATGAATACCGCGTTAATAATCCTAAATTAATACGCAGTATTCTAAAGAGTGGTTTATATTTGGCTATTCATGAATTAGAACCCAGTGAGAATTTATTTTAAAAGATATTCTTCATTTATATATCCACGTTTCTACTGAGAAATTAGTCCATATAAACACTAGTTACAGTTTTAAAAAAATAGTTTCTCATTTCAGTTTACCCTTCGGATGTAAAGAGCTAAAAGTCAACTATACCATATATTCAAGTATAAATGTACTGAAAACCTTTCTGAAGTACCAAATTAGTGAAACTTATTTAAAACAAGTTTGACATACCTTTTGGCTGTAAACATAACCATTTGGTAATGACATTGGGGGATTTTCATCATTCATAGGAAGACCAGTCTTGTAACACGTTAATATAGAATGATCATGACGAGCAAATGGTAAATTCACTGCCAACATGTTGATTAATGGATGACAAACAGCACAGTCTCGATGTTGAGTATTTGGGTTGTAACAGTAACTGGAAGGAGCGATGTAAGGTTATAGAAAACATGACGTCCTGATTTAGTTATAAATGATGCGAAAAGACTAATGATATTAGATAAGAGACCTAGTGTGAGTTAGACAATCTATGAATTTAATGGGACACCAGTCAATAACATCTGGTGACGTCTTGGAGGACGGGTAAAAACCCTTGAGGGACAGTCCAGCTGGTTTGTCAAACCAGCAACACTAGTCAAACTTTCTCCTTTACCCAGGCCAATGAAGACTGATTCGTCTAAAGAGGAAAAGGTCGTACGGAACTCCAACTTCTGGAGATCTGCCATACTTATTGCACGATAATAATCAATGTGTTTCTTGACATCAGGGTCGCCTTTGATTAGTTGGACTAGACTGTTCCCTGAGATTGTCTGTAGAAGGGTGTGCCTGAGAAGTTCATTCACTTTTGTATACAAACATAAGTTATAATGCCAAAACTATATTTAGCCAGATGTATAGATGAATTTCGCGACTCGTTATCTTATATCTGATTGGTTCGTCCATAAATTATAGTCTCGCCGGTATGGGATGTACTGTGCATCCTCTAAATGCAACGTGATTTCACAAAACGGAATAGTCTATGTCTACAACCACGCTTGATGACGAGTAGTTGGAGTTAGTCGAAAAGTCTGAGTATCTGTGTTATTGCTGGTAGTGGCGTGAGTAATAAGACTACTCTATGTACCGTGGAAACCAAAGCGGTTGCTGTCAATGAGTCATCTTTGGGACCGACACGACGTTAGTCTAACTGAAAAATGACGGGTCATCAATGCGTCAGTGAGCAGTTACTCTCTATCCTTGAAAGACCTGACCTTTCCGAGTTGAGGATGTTAGACGACTATCAGCGTTCAATCATCAAAAGGATTGTTTACGTCTAATGACAACTACGTTTTGTAATACTGAGGTTCAGCAACACGTGTTTGAGGTAAAGGTTTGTGAATTGTTGCAATCGGTGAATACACTTTGATGTTAGATAATTAAAAGCAAAGGAAAGGAAGTTTGGATCTTGGTTTCCCACTTGTTTGTACTCGTCCACAAGGAATACCTGTTATCTTCGAGAAACTGATGCTCTCTGTGGGATTCAAACTGGTGCCATGATCAGAGATGTTACAACTGAGCTGCTCAGTTTAACTGCACAAAATTAAATTGACAAACAAATAGTGGTATATTGGATAATTATAAGAGCACCCACAATATTAAACGTAGTCGTATATCTAGGTTATATTTTACAACCAGGATGTGCCCTCTACCATCTAGATATACGGTCATCCCAATGTTGGTTGTCTCACTAGAACTTGAATCTGCAACCCATCATCATAAGCACTAATGTTATTTACCTATTGTTAAGAGATGAACATATGTTACTACAGTCGGCAACTTTCTGCCATGGAGAATAAACTACAACATTTAGACTAAGTATTTACTTGTGAATAACGGGTTTGCTGACATATAAGCCAATTAGCTCCACCTTTTGTAAAGAGTTCATCGCAAAATACTACATAGGTAACGTATGAATGTATAATTATATAACTGATAGTTTATTTGGAATAAAAAAGGATACTGAGTTTTAATTGCTGTAATTCCAGCATTAACAGCCAGTTGAAACGGGGTGTTAATATTGTAAGCGTAAAATTCCATAAGTACTTCATGAGTCCGTTTAACTATCCACTCCTCAGTTAGCTTATTCTGATCCTGAGAAAGGAGAAAAACATGTATTAAAAATTAACTTTCGGACACAATTGCAATTATGCCAGATAATTAGTGAGTTAAATATTCGGCACTAAACGTGCGAAACAATAGATATCGCATTCATTTATATCACAGTGAACCAAGAAAAAACTCTACCCTTTTCTAAATATTGTGTATAATTTTTATTTCTCTAATTTCATTTGTTTTTTTTTTTTGTACTGTTATCCCGATGTTTTAATATGCGATGTAGTTAATATTATTTCTACTCTTCTTCCTTTCAGTATGCTGATTCCCCTCTCTGTGCTAGTATGAGTCCCAAGGTCTTGTGTTTACAATCATTGAATAACTACAAACTACTATATATATAGCCTAAAATCTACATCATAGTATACAGTTATTGCAAAAGATGTTAGGGGTTAGGCAAGACTAAGATTCAGATTATGGGACTCGTTTTTGTGTTCAACTGGTACTATATGGGTTATGTACAACGAAACAAACTACTGACCAGGGAAAATTCTCTATTTAAGAGATATATGTTCTCATATATACATAAAATTTAAAAGAAAGATCAATTTATCTACTGATAACTAATTTAGGAATATTATATTCACTTCAATGAGGATGTGCGCTGTCAAAGTTATTAGTTATAAAGGTTTATTTTCAATTTCTACTATCTGAATATTGTAAAGACGCTTTTATCTGTGAATGGTAACGCAGCTAAAATTAGAAAGCTTTAAATAACAGAGTTCTTTTTAGTTTTTACCACATACTAATTGTTAAAATCTATGATAATTGTTTTATGGTTAATTTTACATGAACAGAGAATATAATTAATATTTAAATGTTACACAAAACCACAATATGATGGTTTATTGTAGAAAGTTCTATTTAGTTTACCATGAACAAAAGATAAGATTTCAGTAAAATCAAGAAAATTAAACATACTGCCTTATTCTGAAGTTCTTCAGGTGTACGCATTGCCAATAAAATCATCGCCTGACCAAGTTTTGTGGCACGATAATCATCAGCTTGTTTAACTGAATTCATGTATTTTCTGGCATGTCTAAAAACCGTGAACATCACTTATTAATCAATGAAATAATTACTATCGCTACTCTAATACGGAAGAACTTTATTCATTGTTGACGGGCATTATCAAGACATCGTAACGATATTAAGTTGAACACCCTTTCCGAACCGTAATGATTATGAGTAGAGATGGATGGTGGCTAGCGGTGGGATCTAGGACGCGCGTTTCGTCCACTGGATGTACCAGCATACCAGAATTGATGTTCACTCCGGGACTCGAACCCAGCACCCAGAATAAATAGGGCGCAACTTGCGTCCCGAATCCCATTGCTAGCCACCATCTATCTCTGCTTATAATGCTTGTAATTTAAGGCAATATCAAAGAAATAGGCACAGGATGTACATGTGCCGATAAGAGACCGACCAATTGCAGTTGTAAACATCAATGGGAAGATCTAAACAACCAATATAAAAATGAATGTAATGATTGTGGCAAAGAGAAGTACAAGTGGATGACAATTTTATTTCATACACATAGTTCCCTCTTGAAATTTGCCGAAGCAATAGCAATCAAACGTCTAAAACCAGATCTATGTATACAAAAAGAGACAGTAATAAATCTTTCTTTACCCTGGTAACAATAACCCCCTTTTTTATTCATTTATTTCTCTGTTTATTTATTGAGTCACTATTCAAGACAAAATTTTATGACCTCATTAACCCTATCGAAATCTTCGCTACACCATCATACATTTATTCATCCTTAATAACTCTCTTATGTATAAATATTCCAATATCTGTAATAATTTTGAATTTCAAATATTTTAGTTTGTAAGCAACTGATGAGAACCTAACGAAATAAAGTGAATTCATATTATTCTGCACCAATCTTTGTTCTTGCTCTCTTTAGGACAATTTTATTTTCAAGCATAATTATATAGGGTAAATTCTCATCCGTGGTTATCAACTTAAGGATTAATATTATGTACACGTCTACAAACCATGACGAATTTGTCAAACTGTACTGAATTCAGTCATCAACGGGTGTGTTTAAAGGAATGCTTCTCTTTTTTAAGCACCTACTTAAATTCCGTTTATATTCTAGTACGCCATAGAGCTATACTGATTTTCGGTAGTTAACGAAACTGCCGACCAGTGTATGTACTTAGTATCGTTACTAAACACCAACCCGAGCTAGATTTAATGGACTTTGCCTGTCCTCAATAATATATAAATAATCAGTGGCTGTACTTGAAAGAAAATAAATTGAAGAGCGAATGAAAGTGTAGAGTAAAACCGACCGTGAATTCATTCTGAAACACGTATTGAGTGTATACAGTGTTAAAGGCTAGCAAATAGATTATTCTGTTAGTTTTAAATTAAAATGTCTAAAAAACAACGTAGTTGGTCTATAAAGTGGTGCACAAGATGAACCATGGTTGTGGTTGAATCTGTTGAAGCGTTTCAGCTGCCGTGGTGCAGTATGAAAAATCATGCCATTGAGTAAACAGACAAGTTATTAGGCATAACTCATAACTGTAACTAGTGGCTATTGCCCTACATTTTGCTTGTGTTCTGTTTAAACAATACCAGAGAACAGCAATACTAACTTTAAAAATAAGTTTGATGAATATCATTTGCACTTTCCGATTGTCGTTAAAATTGACATATCTTTAAACTAATTCCTTGAGAATACTGTATGGTAAATCACTTATTGCCCAGCTTACCTGGAATAATCAAGAACAACCGAATTTCATAACTGCACTTTCTTATCAATATCTTTAAAAAGATCACTATGAAATATTTGGTCAACTCATTGACATGAGAAATAACTAAATCAATTATAATTGGGTTTGCCAAGCTTTTACACAGATATTTCGTTAAGTTACTTTATCAACAACTGTTTTGTGATATAGCGAAAATGGATAATAGAATTGGTTGTAAAAACCATTATATATATATATATATATATATATATATATATATATATATATATATATATATATATATAGAGAGAGAGAGAGAGAGAGAGAGAGAGAGATATTCGTGGAATCGAGACATAGGTATCAAAAAGTCTAAGCAGCTGATAAGTATTCAAAAACTATTCATTCACACCTAGAAAGTCCGCACGTAATCTGTTCTTAGTTTCAGGAGTGGTATGAAAACTTGTTGTTTCTCCAAAATTATACCATTGCTAACTCGATTATAATATATCCAATTGAATTGGTAACCTCTAAAACGAAGTATGCTATGAATTGACTGGTATCAGTTGTCCAATACCATCACTACAAGCACTTATTGAGTTTCAGTTCAACCAGTGCCAGTGGATAGAGGCTTCTTCATTGAGGTTTATGAGGTAATCAAAACTTATTTTTCCATTTCTGGAGGCTGTTAAACTGGTAAAAGCTAAAGGTTATTTACATTACAATTATCTGACAATGATAATTATTAAGTGAAAGGCACTTAAGAATATACATGAAAAGCTGTGAATACAACTATAGTATTCACATAAAATGAACTATCAATTTGACCATTTAATAGGTAAAAACTGGTAGTAAATAAGCTTTACATGAAATCGACAAGAAATAACAATTAAAGTCAACAACTTACTGGATGGCTTCAATTCGTTTCCCTTGCTTGACAAGTAGATAGAACTCGAATACACGAAGATCAAATTCATAATACGACTAAATAAAAAGTTATTGAGAAACAAAACATCGTAAAGTATAAATTCATGGAAGAGATAGAAAAAACTTTTGACCAGAAAATATGAAAGCCGAAATCCTTTCATCAACATTTATTCGTTCTTTGGCAATTTACAGCACCTCTCCAACACTTAAGTTTGCTTACGGTTAATTTTATCAAGCCCATCAATTAACTTATTTAACAGACAGTGATACTTGAACAGTAACAATGTCCATATTTTTGTACTATCATTATTATCGTGTTTGTAAGAACATGTAAGCTTGATCAAATGTGACAGTCTACGCATATATCCCTCTCTCTAGCTTAAGTCGCTCGATGAATCGTTTGCTTTCCTATATATATGGCTGAATCTAATTAACTGACTCGACTATTTATTCAATTTTTTATCCGACTCTTAATTCGCTCGCTCGCACACATTAGCTTTTCTGTTCGAATTCGCTTGGTATTGTTGTGGCTTAGTGATCTGTGATATTAAATAGTAAACTGTAGTAAGCGCTTCGTATTGTCTTCTAAATTCAAAGACTGTTGGGATTAATTTAATAACGGTTATCTCGAAGCTAATCCACTACAAATTTTCGCATGTAAACGATGTTTAATCAATCAAATATGTGGAAGCAGTTTATGAAAATATGATGTTCTGGCAAATTTAATACTAGTGATTCTATTTCCGAAGTGAATATTATGTGAATGAGAGCAGTCAAACTAGGTTTAAAAGAGATGGATAGTTTTAACTAATTTTCTATTCTTTGCTCATTTTAAATATTTCTGATGACTTTCCAGACAGTTCTGAACCGGCTTCATTGACAACTTATACGGTACTGTCAGCGCAAATCCGAAATGTGACTGGTGATTAATCAAGCACCTACACTATTGACTTACAAGGGATGATTTCATAGTTTAGTTATATAATATACCCTTGTGGGCCAGGGTAATTTTACATTGGTTTTCAGGAGAACCATACACCATACAGACTTTCACGTGATAACCCAAAAAGTACAGCTCAATCCCGCTTCATAGGAGAACCAGACACACAAGGAATGATTTGGTAAAACATTTTTACTGATAAGTAAAAAGTACTAGTTTGCTTACATCGTTTTTCTTCAACTTGAAGTTAGCTTCTTGCAACCAAGAGAATGCTGGACCTGTATCTCCTTCTAAAAGTGCCTTCTCAATAGACACAGCTTCATCAAAAACTTCCATCATACATAGATCACCCAGTTCGGCTTTCTCCTGAGCGAATTTCAAAGCCGATAAAGGTTGACCACTTGTAAAAAGATAATCTGTCAAGTGTCTTTGGAATCTTGCTAGACAAAGTGCGCGTTCATCAACAGAATAAGTAGAACGGCGTTTAAGTGTAGTGTCTGATTCACTACTATTAACTTTAGAAATTGATTCTTCAGACTTTTGATTACTACTAGCGTTGAAATGTAGCTCATCTGCAATAGTGCATCATTCAGAAAAACAGTGAAAATTGAGATAGATAAAGAAAAAAGACATTTTTCTCCGAAATACGATTACTAGTGTCAAATGATACAAATGAGTGGAATGTGGTTATATAACTTAATGTCAAAATTCAGGATTTTTTAACTACTCTTAACGTAACTTGTTATTTGATTACAACTGTAGTAAAGCTGACTATGACGGTACCTTAGTCAAGTTTGTCACACTATAAAATAGTCACGTAAAAAGTTGAAATAAATAAGTACAAATTAGTAATACTAGAATGTCTAGAATCCAAATGATCCTGAAGCCGTAACACTGAAAACTTTTGGTTACTAACTTTCATACAACAAAACAATAAGTGATTCTGATCTTATGATAATGTAATTAATAGTTTGTCCATCAAAAAGCTTAAGCAGTTAGAACCTTTATACATTTGTTCTACTCACTGCCCTCTCTCACCAGGGTGTTGTTTTCGGAATTGAGAGGACGAAAAGCGAATGTCCTCTTAACTGGATCGATTGATACAGACCCACCTAGGGGAGTTGGAAAACCCTCATTCTAAACTAATGGTGCACATGGGCTCCAGGATCCTGCGCGAACAAACGGCGCATGAACCAATTATTGGTCACCGGCTACCAAGGGACTGCATCTCCTTACGTTGATCCACTGGACTGGACCTCCAGGTCAAAGGCTCAGGGTGTGGCGCCCTAAGAAAACAGCTTGCTTTGGTTTGGGCACCCGGGCAGTATCCCAGCCCTCATATAAATCGAACGATTTATGCGGCGTATATTTATTTGGTGCCTCATTGTACCCATGTTCATGTTTAAATAAATAAACTGTCGTCCCGAAGAAAAAACACGCACAGATCCGAGATTTACTAAGATCAAATAAGAAATGCTTGAACATCGTCATCAGCACTGGTGCAGCAAATGCAATGAAACGTTACAAATTGATTTGGAATAAGCATATAAACACAATCTGTTTGGCTCAGCACAAATATGAAAATTAATTAGTACAAACTGTAATCAAGCACCCTAATCGGTTGTTCCTACGTTGTTACTGACTGATTGACTGTTCCTACACATCAATTACAGAATAAGAACGCACCCACAAATTTTTAGTTTATGCACGGAATGGAGCGCATTTATAATATTAGAAGATTAAGACGAAGCAGAGACTATGGTTGATTACTTCGAGATGGTCTTCATTCACGAGCCTTCTCCCGACAAAGGACTGGGTCGAGAAGTCATGTAGCCAAACCGAATAACCAGGATGACGTACTAAATGGACTGAGGTCCTTAGACACAAAAAAGTCAGAAGGGTCAAACGAGCTAGATCTAAGAATTTCGAGAGAAATTGCGGTAAACATGACTACTCCGTTCGCTACGATATTCATATCACTCAGCAAGTTACATGTGGAATGAAAGGACGCAACTAATACTCCAGTTAACAGGATAAGATTAAGACTATTTTCGTCAGACTTCAAAACCGTCAACTTCACTAGTGTTTTAGTTAAAATATTGGAAAGAATCATCAGGCCGATCATTCTGACCATTGCGGAAACCAAAAACTTTTCAAACAGTGGAGGTAGGTTCAGAAAAGCATCATCATGCTGAAGCAATCCTATAGAAAGAAAGACGGGCGGAGTCATCTTGTAGCAGAAATTCAATGGGTGTTGTCTACGATGACTTCAGTGGAGCGTTTGATAAGGTGCCACATAATACTCTTATTTAAGCTTGTAAACGTATAGATTTCTGGGCCGTTACTACAAGAAGTCAAACAATTTTTGGTAGGCAGCAACAGAAGAACAGGAATAAATTCCATAATCTACTTTCAGAAAACCAGTGCTCGACGGAGTACCGTAAGGCTCCGTTCAGGACTCGTTACATTTAATACTGTGATTCACTGAAATCTGTCATTATACTCCACTACTAGATAACCATTAAAATGGTCGGAGCTATGTACTCGGACTAAATCTCTAGACTCGTTTTCGTCAAACCTCCGACGCGCAATCACTAGAGAAACGATGAGAACCCAAAAGTACCGTTTGATCCTCAATGCTACTTCATGCCAACGACCTAAACTTTAGTCAGAATTAACCACAGCCATGTCATTTAAAGGGATGATAATTACTAAGAGAACTTATTGAGAGGTTCGACTGCGACAACCTATCCAACCCAATATATTGCATGCAATTTGAAAAGCGACGGATTTGTCCTTTAAAAAATACTGACCTGAGGCCCGGGTAAACATCCCACTATCAAGCAAACACAGTTGACTAAGGTGTCCTATTCTGCGTTTACATGATTTCAACAGCTTCCTTTCTTCAATACATACAAATTCAGCCTAAAGGAAAGTTAGCGAGTTTGTATTTCCCTACTTTGCGTTTCACGCCACGAACGGTTTCTAGAACTCTGCTAAGTGCTGCTGTAGCTTTTGTGATATCTGTTGCATTTTCCAACTCGTCAAGTGACTTATTTAAAGCAGCTATACCTTTCTCCATGTCTCGGTGATTGCGTCTGTACCGCTTGTTTAGTGACTCATAGCTAGCCTTTGAAAGGGAGTTTACGTTTTTGAGTCATCATACCTTAACAGTTGTGTACTCCATAACCTCCACCTCATTTTGGTTCTTGTTGTCGCCGGACATAGTCAGCTGATTACGGAGGGTTTCAAACTCCCCGGCTGATCAGTCTTCAGTCTTCAGTAATAAGGATAGGAGGTCCGTCGACCTATATTAATCCTTGCAGTTTGTAATACTGTGGAGGTCCAATCTCGTTTTGAATATATTAACAGACGGTGCTGATATTACGTGTTCCGGTAGAGAATTCCAGTAATTCACTACTCGGTGCGAGAAACGGAACTCCAGACGTAAACGGTTTGATCTCGGTTTTTGAACTTTCTTCGAATGTCCTCTCAAATGATCGGTTCTAGACGGAAGCAAAAGATAAGACATGTTAATACCAAGGTCATCGTTCAGTATACGATAAGCCAATATTAGATCACCCCGTACTCTACGGTAAGATAACGGAAATAAGTTAAGGTGTCTCAGTCTGTCTTCATAAGATAGGCCAGATAGACCCTGTACCATCTTAGTAGCTCGTCGTTGGACTCTTTCTAGCATATCTGCTTCATATTTGAAACAAGGACACGCTGCTTGAATCCCGTATTCTAAATGTGGTCGCACATAAATCGGGTATAGTAATCCAAACATTTCATCATCTAAATACTGAAAAGACCTACGAATTGACCATAATACCCTATAGCCTTTTGCAGCAGTAGCCTTACAGTGACTAGTCGTTTTGAGATCATTGCTTAATATAACTCCTAAGTTTTTATAGTTTCTTGATTTGGGTAGCACGAATTCACGTAGTGTATAGTCATACGATTCATCAGAGTTATTTAACTGCATCACTACACTCTTATTAGGATTTACTTCTAGTGACCACCTGTCTAACCATGCCACCAATGAGCTAAGATCGTCCTGTAATACTATTCTATCCGACATACTATGTATGGGTCTCCAAATCTTTATGTCATCAGCGAAGAGTAGAACGGATGATTTTGCTACAGTTGGCAATTCATTTACATAAAGTAAAAAGAGAAGAGGACCTAGGATTGTGCCTTGGGGAACCCCACTTTTTACAGGTACCCACGAGGAGAGAGCCCCATTAACCCTTACCCTTTGTCTCCTGTCATGGAGAAAGTTACTTATCCAATCGACGACTGTGTAATGGATTCCAAAACGTTTCAGTTTGAATTTAAGACCAGAGTGGGAAACCTTATCAAAGGCTTTACTTAGATCTATGAAAATTACATCCACAGGAGCATTCCGATCCTTTGCCGCAGCCCACTCTTCTCGTGCAATGAGAAGATTTGTCAAGCAAGATAGACCTTTCCGAAAACCATGTTGTGCCCTGGAGAAAACATTTTGCCCTTCAACATAGTTTATAACAGCTATCCGAATGATTTTCTCCATCAGTTTCACAACTGCATTAGTTAAGCTAACGGGTCTATAGTTACTAACTAAATCCCTACTCCCAGCCTTATACACCGGACTTATTATGGCGTCTTTCCAGTCTCTAGGAAGTCTGGACTGTCTCAGAGACATGTCGAATAATATCGCTAATGGTTCAGCAATTTCATCTGATATGGCTTTCATAATCCTAGGATGAATATCATCGAGACCAGTGGACTTATCAGGTTTGAGATGCTGAAGTAGCCTTAAAACAGTATCTTTCTCAATGACTACAGGATCCATCAGCGAACCGTCACGGTCACGATGAATCATTGGTCGTTTCTCATTACCGATAGAAAACACTTTACTAAAATATTCCGATAAAGCTTCAGCTTTTTCGGCATCATTCTCTACTAAGATTAACAGATTGTCTCGTATCAAAAGTGATGGGATTCCATCGCTGCTCTTAGTTCGCCTTTTTATATACGAGAATAACCGTTTCGGACTATATCTAGAATCCCTAACCAATTGTTTTTCGTATGAATGTCTAGTCTTGCTTATTAACGCTTTACAGGCATTCCTAATCTTACAATAACTGGATCTGTATTGTTCTAAGCCAGTAGAGATGAACATATTCCAGTGATTCTTCCTTTTTCTAAGGAGTTTCCTGGCCGTTTTAGTTATCCATGGTGGACTATTATTCGGTCTTCGCGGTACCAGGTATGGTATGAACGGGGACGTAACTAGTCTAAATTTACCTTTAAATACAGACCATGCTTCTTCAACTGATATGCTAGTATCTACTAACCAATCTGTCTTAGCAGCGCATTCCTGAATGGCTGATGTGTTAGCTTTCCATACATTTGGGCGCGGTGTAACCTGATCGTATAACATGTCCCTAGTTCTAAACGTGAATAGCCTTGTGTCCTTAATCTAGAATATTTATCCGTCTTTTATATTCTTTATGTTTCTACTTCAGGCTAGCAGCGACTTATTGAAAGTAGGCACGGAAGCTAGGTGGATGAAATTTCTCTTACATCCACACGTATTTTAAACACTATGAAGTTTGATCCTAATGGCTTTATTATTCTTTTGTCAATGAATCTTATTATAAATGCTTCCCCATCTACTCTTTATAAATAGTCCTTTGTTCTTGAAAGATGGGTGCGGTTATTCTGTGGTGTTTAGTAAGAATATTTTAGATTCTCACAACTGTATACGCATTTTAGGAGAAGGGATCATACAAGGCATATGAAATTCTAGTCAATTACTCAGATCCTATTTATTAGCTTGTGCTGATTAATTCGATCAGTAAGACTTGCCCACTACCCCGAGGAATGATCGTCGATGTGTAGAGACGGAAAGCTGCACAAACCCAGTATGAGATTTTATGATCTATATTCAGCCTCATGTAATTATGATGTTGACCAACAATTTCAACTGTCACTCGAAAAGTACTCCAAACTTAGCTCAGTAAAATTACTATATGCGACCGACAATGTTATCCAGCTGTTCACCTTAGCTGATTAACCTATGTTCCCAAATCCGTGAGGTGAAAACACTCTCCTCCACCTTCTGAGATTTTTAACAGCTCATATTTTAAGTGGTTATTTGGCTTTACACCCTTTTCATTCAATGCGAGTAAAATAAAACAGTGATTCGGCATTTAAACAGTGAATTTAAACGAAGATTGCTGACCTATAACTGTAACTCTATGTCCTCAACCATTTGACTACATTAGAATATGTGAACGTGTTTTTCAAGATAAAGTTGGTAATCTACCGAAGGTGGAGTTTGATATTCGATGAGACCATTCTTTGAACAGCCACTCCATCTGTTCGCTTTGAACTTTTACGTTCAACATCTGGGGCTAAAAACACAGCCCATCTTCAACGTTTTACGGAAGGCAGATCTCAAAATCCTGAGCTTTCCAATAATAAATTGAGAGACGTGTGATTGCAGTTCTTGAGGATGAGACACATATGGACAACATATGGACTTAGCAAGTGAAGTACTGTGAAAACGGGGTTACTGTGAGAGCACATAAGAGCCAAACTGGGATCACCTTACTGCATTTGGGACTCAAAGCATCTTCTTATATGAAGTTGTAGCGGTAAATAAATCCCCAAAATAAATAACTATGTAAGTTTTCAACATTGGATGCTGACCATATGTTTTAGTGGACTCATCTAGCTGAAGGCGCTCGGTCATGGATTCGCACCAGATCACGTGTGGTAACGCTGTGCTCAACATCTACCGTAATCGCTAGCCAGATTAGATCAGAGAATTCCAATATATTGGTTATCGCCCAATACATTCTTCCGATCTCCTCGACTCTGTCTTTTGATATCTCTTAGTGGGTACGAATTATATTAGAAGGTGTTACTGGTAAAAGCGTTGTCAAACACTGAATACCTGTGCCATCTTCATTGGTGAGACCGACGTGATATGGTTCACCTAATGGCAACTGTGAGTCTGTTCCTTTTTGTGATTTTTATATATTATTGCCTTAATTTTTAATTTTTATACATTGTGATATATTTTCCCCGTGTCTCAGGATATCTATATATTTTTTCCTCGTATTCTCGTACTTAATATTCCCCTATGACCGAACAGACTCCCAAGGTATTCAAGATTAAGACCATGTCCCCACCCTCGTTCCAACTCATGCCCTTCTGGCCCAACAATATCGAAGCCTGGTTCTGCTATGCAGAAACAGACTTTCACGATCACGGCGTGAACGACACAATGTGCACAATTTTTCGCAGTAGTCAAGGCACTACCACGCGAATTCAACAGGTACGTAACACCTTGTATGTTTACTAGTGATGTTTCTGACCCGTACGAAGCCTTAAAGCGTTCGATTCTTAAACGAGGAGACCTAATCGATCGACGAAGGTTAGACCAACTCTTTAATAACATGGACCTGCAACAAGGTTCTGCGGAGCACATGTTGCAAAGAATGAGAGAGGTTATAGGCCCAAGAACTTTTGACGAAGGTCTGATCAAACAACTTTTCTTGTCCAAACTTCCCCGACAGGTGCAGGCGGTTCTGGTCTCGTTTCAGAACAACGCCTTAGAGGAGCTGGCTGCATCTGCTGATCGTATCTTAGAGATTACAAAATCTTCCACTACCGAGGTTTTTCAGTCAAAGAAAAGCTCCAAACGACTCAGAATGACATAAGAGAGCTATGTCATACACTTACGCGTAATCTTTATTTTCGTAACGACCGTAAGCGATCCCAAACCCCACGTAGAAGCACTTCACGTAAACGATCTGTCTCTAGACCACGAGAGACGGATAATCCCGGCTGGTGCTGATATCATAACCAGTATGAAACGTCTTCCAGAAATTGCAGAAAACCCTGCAATTTTCCCAACTCAAAACCTACTGACTTGAAAAACAACTCGGGAAATTTCCAAGCCGGCACGCGTTAACGGCAACCGTAGACGGCGAACATAGCCGTCTGTTATACGTCACAGATGTGACAACGAGAGTTCACTACCTCGTCGACTTTGGCGCAGAAGTTAGCGTTCTCCCAGCAACTTCCAACGACTGGCTTCACGAATCGGCTTTAAAGTTACAGGCGGCAAACGAAAAACCTATCGCTACGTATGGCAAAAGGTACGTTTACCTTAACGTGGGTTTACGCAAACCCATTCACTGGATCTTCGTTGTTGCAGATGTCTCT